GAAAACATTCCTATGCTGCCAAGCGTACTATGGCAATCTGGAGGAAGGGAGGAACCCTTCCATAACAATTAGTAGATCTCTGATTTTAAATGTTGATTTGGTTTGCATGGTGTTACCTGTGGACAAAAGCACACAATCTTCAAGCCCTGAGAATATAGATTTGGACTAACACAGCCAAGGACTATTGACTAATAGAGGTCGATGAATTATCCTTTGGCCTAAGAGAATGAATTTCCTGGGAATTCAGAAAGCACCTTGTTGAGAAGGGAATTGTGCAGGGGAAGGGCCAGCATCATGTTTATTTTGCTCTAGGAGCCTTAGTTTGGTTAGAATCAAGTATATACTTCCAGAGTTAAAGCCAAATACATTACTTCTGGTAAAGGAGCCAGCATAAAGGAGTCAGTAGAGGGCCATGAAAAATTGTGTCCCGGGCTTTTTAGACTGGTCTACCCATGTACTATCTGAAACCAAAGGGGTACACTGGTTGCCACATGTGGATTCCCTCCCCCAACTCTCCTACCCCACTATTCAGGGATGGTGGGAGTTACTGCAGAGTTGTCATACGTCTGGAATTTCCCAGACATCACCAGGATTCAGCCATCAGAAACAGTGTCTGGGCAGAAATAGCTGAAATGTCCAGGCAAATCTGGACGTATGGCAACCCATGTCCTTTAAAAAAACTTCAACAACTTTGGGCCAGAACAGCTCAACAACTTTTGTGTCTGGATTTTCACTTTTTGAAATATGGCAGCCGTAATTTACTGTCTGATGATGTCTGGAGGCTGGCAGGTTGTGTCAACTTACTTTTGCATGAGTTTGGTGGCAGGTAATTCAGCCAACACAGTGGTGGGGTTCAGATGATGGCAGGTATGATAGGCACACATTGCTTAAAAGGTATTGGGGAATGAGCTGAATTTTTTTAAAAAATGTGGGATACATGCAACACATCAGGTTCTTGTATACTTTTGGACCATCTCAACAAATGAGAATGGTTGTTTTTCCCCACCTCCGCTGCTAATAGACTTTCCCTTTCATAGGAGATATGGTTGAAACCATACAATGATGTGTATTCATCTCCGCCACCTCTCATACAGACCAACATTACCAGAGTGCTTCCTTTGTGTAGGAGATGCTGCTGTAATCAAGCCTTGCCATCAACCAGCTGTAAAAGCATGCGAGACAGACGGAGGCTACTGCGATGGAGAAATTTGTCGTCCGGGTTACTCACGACTAAGGATGTGCTATGACAATATCCCTTGATGCATACGCTATTAAAAGCGGGACAAAAAAGAATGGAAGTAGAAAATATAAGGTCTTCATTACTGTGCAAAACAAAGTGGAATGGAAATAAAAAGTCCAGTTTAAGGTCCTCATTATTGTGCTGACTGTGAATGAATTGGGTTATAGGAACATATACTGAATCAAACCACTGGTCCATCTAGCTCAACTTTGTCTGGATTGTCAGCATCTGTCAATTTAGCTCAAGCATTCCAGAGTTTCAGACCAAGACTTTCTCCAAGTCTACTAGGATGTGCTGATGATTGAACCTGTGACTTTCTGCATGCAAACATATGTTGTGCCACTGAGCTATGGCCTTTCCCTGTGATAGGTTTTTCCTTTCCTTTTCTGCTTCTGCATTATCTCCATTCTTAAAAGAGGTGCTCAATTATTTTCCTCTTCCTCCTCCTTATTAGGACTGTACCCAACAGACTAAATAGAACTGATTTGACAACAGCACATTGATAAATTTAAAATAAGATAATGAATTTAATTTTTAAAAATCCATTTAACACAATCAAATGCTTTAAATAAATCCAGGGAGGATTTATTATTCCTAAAATAATCCATTATGCTAAGAAGTCTACAATACACTTACGTACAATAAACCCAAACTGATCTGGCTGGATAATTTCCCCAACATAGCATTTAAGCTATTTTGTCAAAATTGTATACACAATGGTTAAAAATGAGATCTGTCTATATGAATGCATTTCCAATAGTTCTTTTTGTGGTTTCAAAAAAGCTATGGTTCAGGAAGCTATCGTTCCAAACCATCAGGCACCTTCCAAAAACCCACTAGGCAATGGTAATAGATGTGGTAGAAGCATGTTGCTTCTATTCTTTATTCTTTATAAAAAGCTCCTAGAAGCCTGGGGATTTATTGTTGGAGTTTGCATACGACCGAGCTGTAATGGCTCTCCTCCTTCTCGTATCTTCGGAATCCATCAACCTCTGCTCCGACGGTGATTAACAACCTAAGCCTTTAATGAGGCTTCAGGCACGCTCCTATTACGCAGAGTATCCAAACAGCAGCAGAAAGAGAGAGAAATGTGTGCTACATTGCTAGGTTTATTTCTAACTACTCAGGAGAGAAAGAATATGCAGCTGCTCTCTGTGAGAGACAAAGAACAACAGGAACAAAGAAACAGTAAATCAGTAACATCAACATCCGTCTCCCGTCTTCCGTGAGACTTCCAGCAGTCTGGAATGTCAACAGAGTCTTGTGACTCCAAAAACTGCACAGTGGCATAACAGAAATCTAACATTTATATGGTTTCAGCTGCTTTTTTAAATATATGCCACAGATTACTGCCTTCATAGCTTCTTGGAAAAGTGTGGGACTTATTATGGGCTCTGAGTTTTCCCTAAAGCAGTGTTCCAGACCCTCCTGAATAATTTGTCTGCAACTCTATGTGGATAGTAGAGTTGGACTGAACCTCCACACTAGGACAACCCAGTGGAGGAGGCCCATCTCACCGACTTAGAGAACCAAGTGTTATCTGTGATTTTGATTGGCCCTATTTTTGCTTGAGCGACCTGGCTCATCAACTTTTGATTACTAAAACGAAATCCAGCTTTGCAATATGTTCATGGTGGTACAGGGGAAAACTAAAGCTTTGGTCATAGGGATGAAGTTCTGCCCATACTCCTTTCAAATGTATTTTAAAAGATCTAATAGAATGCTAGAACTGCAAGTTTGAAGGGACCCCAAGGGTCATCTTGTCCAACCTCCTGCAATGCAGGAATCTCAGCTAAAGCATCCATGACAGGAGGCTATCAAAGCTGCACTTAAAAACCTCCAAGGAAGGAGAGTCCACAACCTCCCGAGGGAGACCATTCCACTGTCAAACAGCTCTTACCATCAGAAATTATTCCTGGTGTTTAGTTGGAATCTCCTTTCTTGTAACCTGAAGCCATTTGTTCAAGTCCTACCCTACAGAGCAGGAGAAAACAAGCTTGTTCCCTCTTCCATTTGACACGAGAGTTGTGGACTCTCGCCATTGGAGGTCTTTAAGCACAGGTTGGATGGCCACTGTCATGGTTGCTTTAGTCAAGATTTCTACATTGTAGGAGGTTGGACAAAATGACTCTTTTTGTCCCTTCCAACTCTACCATTCTATGATTTAAAGTTTTACAATTTCTTTACCACAACTCAAATAATGTTATCTAGAGACTTGGGCATGCCTTTGGTAAACAAATATTTCAAATACTTGGGAGGTTACATCACCTAAAATCTGAACAACTTATTTGTGATGAATAATGACACAATATGGAAGGCATTTCTAGTAGGTTTGCAACAATGAAATAAGCCGACTTATTGCTTATCTAGTTGTATTGCTACTTTTAAAATGATGGTTTCAGCAAAGCTTTCATTTGTGTTCTATGTCTGAGACATAGCCAGGCAGTAAGTAGCCCAAGATCACCCAGGGAACTATTCATAGATGAGTGCTACTTTTAACTCTGGTCTCCTACACCCTAGTCTGTTAAATATCGTTCCACATTCTGGAAAGAAGGCACAGAAGTGAATAAGTCAAGAGGGGTCATCTTTTTCCACATGGCTTTTTGGGCTTAGTTAGGCACTAACTGCTTATAAAACAGCAATGTTTTAGTGTCCACAGCTTTGCAAGCTATGAGGATTGGAAGAAAGCTAGAACAATCTACCCTTGTCTAAGAAGAGTAGAAGAGTTTGGATTTGATATCCTGCTTTATCACTACCCTAAGGAGTCTCAAAGCGGCGAACAATCTCCTTTCCCTTCCTCCCCCACAACAAACACTCTGTGAGGTGAGTGAGGCTGAGAGACTTCAGAAAAATGTGACTAGCCCAAGGTCACCCAGCAACTGCATGTGGAGGAGCGGGGAAGTGAACCCGGTTCACCAGATTACGAGTCCACTGCTTCTAACCACCACACCACACTGGCTCTCTTTTCCCCGCCTTTTCCCTGCCTAGGTGTTGTCCCACCGACATGACCCCCTAGGACACATACTGCCCTACCAGGTCAGAGGCTACCAGCTACCACTGCCATTGTACCAGGCTTATAGCCATCAGGGTCCCCAGACTCTGGGCTTTCATTTTTAGAAGAACCAGTTTCTAGCCCTCCAGGGAAAAAATGTTACAAAAAGAAATGTGCAGGTACCCCTCTGAGCAGGGCAGTCTTAAGCATATCCAGCGCCGTGGTGCAAAGATCCCTCCATCCCCCACCCCCCGATACCCATAGCTGCAGACATTTTTTAGGGAGGACAGCGCTTTGGGTGATGTGCCCAGCTTTGTCGGGCTGGAGGAGGCGGGCAGCGACTGGGTGGCAGCTCCTCCAGTGGGGAAGAGGTGGAGGCTGGACACGGTGGCTCCAAGCTCAGCTGGCTGCTTTGTGCCATGGTGGCCATGGCAGGCAGAGTCTCCGGGCGCAGTGCTGCTTCAGCGCGGCATGGCGGGCGAGGGCAAGGGCAAGGGCGGCAAGCTGATGCCAGCAGGTGCCCTCCAGAAATTTGCGCCCTGGCGCCCTGCGCCACTAGGCTCAACGGGTAAGACGCCCCTGCCTCTGAGACAAGTCAGTCTTTCTATGTTCCCACCCAATGAATGAAATAAATGTTGCCATTGACTCAGTCATTGCTTGGCAGAGAGAGACAGGAGCTTGGTCACAGAGAGTGCCCGTGATCTGCAAATGAGTTTCAAATCTGTATTTTTTGACATACATTTTAATGAGTGGAATAAAGTGTTTTATCTGCGTTGACACGATAACAGAGTAGCTTTCTTGGCTTTCCCAGCTGAAGAGCCATCACTTTTTCCAGGAAATTGGCATTATGAAATATGCGCTGACATGGAGCTGAACCTCATTTTACCTCGCAGCACACTTCATGCTTGCCACAGTCAGAATCAGTGTGTATTCCCTTGCACTTTTTCTTAGGCATGCATTCACCTCCGATTAGCTTACAAGCTGTTCCTTTAGCAGTTTCTGTAAAGGGGGGAAATGGCCACACATTTAGAAGAGATGAATAAGAAGGGTAAAATTCTTATTTGACTGACAGGCTTATCAACATTGTCACAAACATGGGTGAACCTCAGGTTATAATTCTTTCTCTTCGACTCCAAAAATTCCATACAATAAAAAACTCCAGGTTAAGAAGCTACCTTATGACATGTTAGAGCAAGTGAGAAAGGACCATTTGTTGCCAGGAACTGTGAGAAGATTCTTGAAGATTCTCCAAGCATTCAGGTGCAAGATTGTTTAGTCTACAGCAGCTATAAATAGCTATGGGGCACTGTGGCGTTTGGCCTCCTAGGTGTGTGACATCATACTGGGTTCATAAGGAAAGGGTTAACTAATTGTAAAATGACTAACCAATGGGAAGCCAAGGGGAGGAGTTAGAGTTAGAGTTAGAGTTAGGGTGGTTGAGAAGTCAGTCTGGAGTTAGAGAAGAGACTGAGAGGATAAGTCTGTGGGTTGGGCTAGTCTGATGTGAGAGAGTGAAAGAATCTGTTAAGAGGAGTCAGTCAAACAGTTGAAATAATCAGTCAGAAGGTATTAGGAAGGTATAGGCTGGTAAAGAAACTAAAGTTAAGAAACTGACAGGAATATTATCTGAGAAACCATAAACTTGTTAATGCTTATAAAATAAACTTGTTTATTGGGTTCAGTTCTAACAACGGTCTGGACTCAGTGTTTTACCCAAGAGTAACGGGTTGGTGGCAGCGGGGAAGCGAGCACAGTGGTGGCACAGGGATCAACAGACTGTTAAACATCCGGGGACCTTGTGTGATCACCACAGGCACTTATCTATGGACATGTGTGATTCCCACAAGGGAGAGACTGCTGAGCTGTGTGCAAGCAGCATTTAGGACTGAAGTGTGCCTTACTATCAGTGCGGTAGTAAAGTTGTAAATAGTCTTCTACCAACAAGATGGTGATTGCCTTTCAAGGAAGCAGTGCTTGATTGAGCTTTATTGCTTCCATGAGTGTTTTACTATCAAATTGCCTATCACCTGTGTGCAATTTGAACCTTCAACGCTCCAGCTGCGCAGTCATTACTCTGCCACGCAAAGGAGCTAGCATTCACGTAAGGAAGTGTTGTTAGACCACCCTCAAGATTTACAGTTGCAGATCGTGAAATCTTCTTCACGACAGCTCACACTGCCTAACTGTCCAGCACGGGGGGGGGGGGTGACAGAAGGAACTGAGAGAAGGGAAAGGGGGTGGCAGAAAGAGGAGGAACAGACCAAGGAAAAATGGGTGACTGAATGAGATAGAGCAGAGCCACGGAAGAATAAGGGAAGGGTGAATGAAAGAGAGAAGGAAAAGAGGGCAGGAAAAGAGAGAAGGAATGCTCTCTCTCAAAGAGAGCAAAAGAAAAGAATGAGGCACCATAGATTTAGCGCTGTGAATTAGGTAAAGGTAAAGGGACCCCTGACCATTAGGTCCAGTTGTGACCGACTCTGGGGTTGCGGCGCTCATCTCGCTTTATTGGCCAAGGGAGCCGGCATACAGCTTCCGGGTCATGTGGCCAGCATGACTAAGCCGCTTCTGGCGAACCAGAGCAGCGCATGGTAACGCTGTTTACCTTCCCGCTGGAGCAGTGCCTATTTATCTACTTGCACTTTGAGGTGCTTTCGAACTGCTATGTGGGCAGGAGCAGGGACCGAGCAACGGGAACTCACCCCGTCGCGGGGATTCAAACCGCTGACCTTCTGATCAGCAAGTCCTAGGCTCTGTGGTTTAACCCACAGCGTTATGGGTGTCACCCAATTAAAACAAATTTACTGTATGACTTTTAGAGAATGAATTGATTGATTATATTTTGAGAAACCTTCATAAGCGTGGAACAATAGTTCAAAAGCCAGAAGCGCAAGCTGCCTGTACATGATGCACTGGTGTGTAGCATTTCTGTAGAGACATCCCACAAGGGTGAAAATGGGATTCATCCCACCTACAGTTTTTTAAAGGATGTTATACTAAATTATATTTTTTTTAAAAAAAAATGCTGCCTGTGGAAGTGCAGTCATCTATCTTTAACTGATTAAAACCATTGAACTGATTGGTCTAGTTTAGGGATAGAGAATCTGGGTCCTGGGTCCAGATGTTGCTGTTAGCCTCAACCAGCATAGCCAGTGGTTAGGGATGATGAGAATAAAGAGATAAATAGAAAGGACTGTAAACTTTTTCAATGTGCAGTAACAGCGGCAAGAATATTACTCGCCCAGAAATGGAAACAGGAACAATTACCAACATTGGAGGAGTGGAGAATGAAGCTGATGGACTATGCAGAACTTGATAAACTGACAGGGAAGATTAGATATCGACGAGATCAAAAATTCATCGAGGACTGGGGAAAGTTTGTTGAGTATTGGGAAGGTATAAGTGATAAAGAAATAACGCTAGTGGCATTTAAAGAAGCTCTGTAAAGGTCTAAGAAATATTGTAAAAAAGGGAAATAGATATGGTAGGGTGTGTTAAAAGGCAATAGCAAATTTAGGAAATGTGTAAACAGGGAAAAAATCGGATGATTGTCAGAGAGGCTGAAGGAAGTCTAAAAATGTGAAAATTTGTGAAAGTTGTAATGTGGTGAGATATGAATTTTTTTATTGATGGAAAATTAATAAAAATATTATATCAAAAAAAGAGAATCATAGTTAACTGTTCTTATTTGTATTACCTTTTTTCCCTTTGTTCGGTGTATTACCTTGAAACCCTGCCAATGAAAAAGAAGGGGTATTAATAATAATAATAATAATAATAATAATAATAATAATAATATGTCAGGGGCTGGCAAGAGTTGGCTGGTGAAGGGGCGAGGAGAGAGGGAACCCAGGAGGACTCCCCTGTTGGAAGCCTGAGGACCCAGTCCTGACAGGCCTCATAAGGACTGCTGCTGCGGCTGCTGCCCAGCAAGGACTGGTGTATTTGGGGAAAAGTTTTGTTGGGAGTTTTTGCTGTTGTTACTGATATTAACTGATACTAACTAAACAGCCTCGGCCCAGTATACCTGAAGGAGCGTCTCCACCCCCATCGTTCAGCCCGGACACTGAGGTCCAGCTCCAAGGGCCTTCTGGTGGTTCCCTTACTGCGAGAAGCAAAGCTACAGGGAACCAGGCAGAGGGCCTTCTCGGTAGTGGCACCCGCCCTGTGGAACGCCCTCCCACCAGATGTCAAAGAGATAAACAACTACTTGACATTTAGAAGAAATCTGAAGGCAGATGTTTTAAATGTGTGACATTTTAATGTATTTTTAATCTTTGTTGGAAGCCACCCAGAGTGGTTGGGGAAACCCAGCCAGACGGGCGGGGTACAAAAAATATAGTAGTAGTAGTAGTAGTAGTATATTACTGATATTAACTTTGTAAGCCGTCTTGAGCATTGTTTTAACTGTGGAAAGGCGGCAAGTTGTGGGGTAACAACAACAACAACAACAACAACAACTTATTATTTATACCCCGCCCATCTGGCTGGGTTTTCCCAGCCACTCGGGGAGGCTTCCAACAAAATATTAAAAATACAATAAAACATCAAACATTAAAACCTTCCCTGAACAGGACTGCCTTCAGACTGCCTTCCATGTCACACATGAGGAGAAACCTTCCCTCTTCCACAATTCTTTCACCAGTGACAGAAGTAACTCCGAGGCAGCTGCTGGAAGACTCTGAATCGGAGTCTTGGCTCAATTCCAAAGAGATGGCATACAGCGTCTCCACCCTCTCCCCCCTCAATAACCTTTCCATTTAAACTTTCTTAGGGTGCAAGGGGACAAAGCCACAGTGCACAAGCTGGCCACACTGGTAGCAGACGCCTTCTAACCTCATTTTATTCTTCTGTCATTTATGCCAGAATGTTGTTGTTTTTCTATTTCAGGGTAGATGTCTTACCTCCAGAAAAGAAAAGCATCATAGAAATGGCAAGCATGAGAAGCCAGCGCAAAGGCATTGTTGAAGCTTGAACGGCAAGAGCAGACTATAGAGGCAGAATGCTCTGTGTCTTCTGGAAGGCTGAAGGTCCACTATTTATAGTAGTTTCTGAGACATTGACCTGTAAACCTTGTGCATGAATGATTCTGATGTGATGCATGCGATAGCAGAAAATATTCCTCAAGTTAATTACAGGGTACATTGCACTTTATTCTTCGGGAATCTATTATGTTCTAAGAGCATAAAGTAAACCTTATGATATTAGGCACAAGGTTTAATAATCGTTATAGGGTTCAGTAACATTGGTTGTATTAAAACACGGGTAGGCAAACTAAGGCCTGGGGGTTGGATCTGGCCCAATCGCCTTTTAACCTCGGCCAGCGGATGGTCCAGGAATCAGTGTGTTTTTACATGAGTAGAATGTGTGCTTTTATTTAAAATGCATCTCCAGGTTATTTGTGGGGCCTGCCTGGTGTTTTTACATGAGTAGAATGTGAAGAAACTGAAATTGACCAATTCTATGAAGACTTACAACACCTTAAAGAAATGACACCAAAGAAGGATGTTCTTCTCATTATAGGGGAATGGAATGCTAAAGTAGGGAGTCAAGAAATAAAAGGAACAACTGGCAAGTTTGGCCTTGGAGTTCAAAACGAAGCAGGGCAAAGGCTAATAGAGTTCTGCCAAGAGAACAAGCTAGTCATCACAAACACGCTTTCCCAACAACATAAGAGACGACTCTACACATGGACATCACCAGATGGGCAGCATTGAAATCAGATTGATTATATTCTCTGCAGCCAAAGATGGAGAAGCTCAATACAGCCAGCAAAAACAAGACCTGGAGCTGACTGTGGCTCAGATCATCAGCTTCTTATAGCAAAATTCAAGCTTAAACTGAAGAAAGTAGGAAAAACCACTGGGCCGGTAAGATACAATCTAAGTCAAATCCCTTATGAATACACAGTGGAACAGGTTTAAGGATTTAGATTTGGTAGACAGAGTGCCTGAAGAACTATGGATGGAGGCTCGTAACATTATACAGGAGGCAGCAACTAAAACCATCCCAATGAAAAGGAAATGCAAGAAAGCAAAGTGGCTGTCCAACGAGGCCTTACAAATAGCGGGGAGAGAAGGCAAGCAAAGTGCGAGGGAGATAGTGAAAGATACAGGAAATTGAATGCAGATTTCCAAAAAATAGCAAGGAGAGACAAGAAGGCCTTCTTAAACAAGCAATGCAAAGAAATAGAGGAAAAAAATAGAATGGGAAAAACCAGAGATCTGTTCTAGAAAATTGGAGATATGAAAGGAACATTTCATACAAAGACTACCATAATAAAAGACAAAAGTGGAAAGGACCTAACAGAAGCAGAAGACATCAAGAAGAGGTGGCAAGAATACACAGAGGAATTATACCAGAAAGATATGGATGTCTCATACACCCCAGGTAGTGTGGTTGCTGACCTTGAGCCAGACATCCTGGAGAGTGAAGTCAAATGGGCCTTAGAAAGCACTGCTAATAACAAGGCCAGTGGAAGTGATGATATTCCAACTGAACTATTTAAAATTTTAAACGATGATGCTGTTAAGGTGCTACACTCAATATGCCAGCAAATTTGGAAAACTCAGCAGTGACCAGAGGATTGGAGAAGATCAGTCTACATCCCAATCCCAAAGAAGGGCAGTGCCAAAGAATGCGCCAACTACCGCACAATTGCACTCATTTCACACGCTAGCAAGGTTATGCTTAATATTCTACAATTCAGGCTTAAGCAGTATGTGGACCGAGAACTCCTAGAAGTGCAAGCTGGATTTCGAAGAGGCAGAGGAACCAGAGACCAAATTGCAAACGTGCGCTGGATTATGGAGAAAGCTAGAGAGTTCCAGAAAGACATCTACTTCTGCTTCATTGACTATGCAAAAGCCTTTGACTGTGTCGACCACAGCAAACTATGGCAAGTTCTTAAAGAAATGGGAGTGCCTGATCACCTCATCTGTCTCCTGAGAAATCTCTATGTGGGACAAGAAGCTACAGTTAGAACTGGATATGGAACAACTGACTGGTTCAAAATTGGGAAAGGAGTACGGCAAGGCTGCATATTGTCTCCCTGCTTATTTAACTTATATGCAGAATTCATCATGCGAAAGGCTGGGTTGGATGAATCCCAAGCCGGAATTAAGATCGCCGGAAGAAATATCAACAACCTCACATATGCTGATGACACAACTTTGATGGCAGAAAGTGAGGAGGAATTAAAGAACCTTTTAATGAGGGTGAAAGAGGAGAGCGCAAAATATGGTCTGAAGCTCAACATCAAAAAAACGAAGATCATGGCCACAGGGCCCATCACCTCCTGGCAAATAGAAGGGGAAGAAATGGAGGCAGTGAGAGATTTTACTTTCTTGGGCTCCATGATCACTGCAGATGGTGACAGCAGTCACGAAATTAAAAGACGCCTGCTTCTTGGGAGAAAGGCGATGGCAAACCTAGACAGCATCTTAAAAAGCAGAGACATCACCTTGCCAACAAAGGTCCGTATAGTTAAAGCCATGGTTTTCCCAGTAGTGATGTATGGAAGTGAGAGCTGGACCATCAAGAAGACTGATTGCCAAAGAATTGATGCTTTTGAATTATGGTGCTGGAGGAGACTCTTGAGAGTCCCATGGACTGCAAGAAGATCAAACGCATCCATTCTTAAGGAAATTAGCCCTGAGTGCTCACTGGAAGGACAGATCCTGAAGCTGAGGCTCCAATACTTTGGCCACCTCATGAGAAGAGAAGACTCCCTGGAAAAGACCCTGATGTTAGGAAAGATTGAGGGCACAAGGAGAAGGGAACGACAGAGGACAAGATGGTTGGACAGTGTTCTCGAAGCTACAAACATGAGTCTGACCAAACTGCGGGAGGCAGTGAAAGACAGGAGTGCCTGGCGTGCTCTGCTCCATGGGGTCACGAAGAGTCGGACACGACTAAACGACTAAACAACAACAACAACAAAGAATGTGTCTTTTTATTTAAAATGCATCTCTGGGTTGTTTGTGGGGCCTGCCTGGTGTTTTTACATGAGTAGAATGTGTGCTTTTATTTAAAATGCATCTCTGGGTTATTTGTGGGGCATAGGAATGCGTTCATATATTTTTTCTTCAAAATACAGCCCAGCCCCCCACAAGGTCTGAGGGACAGTGGACCGACCCCCTGCTGAAAAAAGCTTGCTAACCCCTGTTTTAAAAGGTCATTCATACTGTAAAAAATATTTCCTGCTTTGGTTTGTTATGCTCCATGGCTGCTACCCCACAAGGAGACACAGTGTACCAAAGCAAGGAAATGCTGAACAGCACATTAACCTGATGAAATCTACAGGATCCAGTTGATGGTAAATTTGGTTTCATGCCTTTTGGATGGAAATTGAGTGGGAAGCTCAGAAGCCTGAGGAGGCTGCTGTCATATACAGGCCCACATGCCTTGGGTGTAGAAGTGTTCAGGATGCCTCCAGACAGAGAACCAGTGTGGTGTAATGGTTAAGAGCGGTGGACTCGTAATCTGGTGAACCGGGTTCGATTCCCTGCTCCTCCACATGCAGCTGCTGGGTGACCTTGGGCTAGTCACACTTCTTTGAAGTCTCTCAGCCCCACTCACCTCACAGAATGTTTGTTGTGGGGGAGGAAGGGAAAGGAGAATGTTAGCCGCTTTGAGACTCCTTCGGATAGTGATAAAGCGGGATATCAAATCCAAACTCTTCTTCTTCTCTTCTTCATGCTCCAGCACTGGGGGGCAGAGAGCAGGCGGAGGCGGGGCTAGCGCATATCCCGGTGGCATGGCGCGCCACTTGCAGGGACATGGCACGCATCCTGGGGACATGGCATGCTGTCTGCGGGGGCATGGCGCCCAGCACGGGCGGGGGGGCAGCCTCAATGGCACTCCACCGGGATTGTGTTGCCGGGGACGGTGCGCTCCCCCCACACTCCTCTTCCTCCGCCAGTGCCTCCAGGAAAATATTGGAAAGACTCCTGCCTGCCATTCTGGGCGACCAGGTCCTATCAATATTTTAAATTGTTGTAATTCACCCAGGGACCTTAGTGTTGAGGGTGGAGGTATGAAATAAAGCAAGCAAACAAATAAATATAAAAATCTGTTGCTGTGTTATTCCATCTACGGTTGTGAGTCAGCTTATGACAGTGTCTTCTCATTATGAAATCTCTCCCTGTTGAGAGCTTGTGGGTGCTGTCAGAGCACCAAAACCTCCTCTTTTCTTCAGATAGCTACTGAGGTGTCCCAGGATCCTAGTATAGCTGTGTTGGGTCTCTTCTCATCATTGAGCTCTCCCTGGGGTTTGCCTGCCAATTTCCTCCTCCCTGCTCTTGCCCCAAGTTATTTCTGTAAGGAATTTTAAGCTTGTTAAAAGTTCTGTGAGATACCATGAAGACTAACCTGTCCTATCCAGAAGCCATCCTCGTGGAATCTAGTGGGGTTACTTCTTAGTATTGTATGGTTATTGTAACCCACACTAAAAATTGTAATGGCAGGGACCCCTTCTAAAACTAGGTTATACTTTTTCTGTTTCATTAGGCGCTAAGTACTTACAGAACTGGGACACGGGTGGCGCTGTGGGTTAAACCACAGAGCCTAGGACTTGCCGATCAGAAGGTCGGCAGTTCGAATCCCCACAACGGGGTGAACTCCCGTTGCTCAGTCCCTGGCTCCTGCCAACCTAGCAGTTCGAAAGCACGTCAAAGTGCAAGTAGATAAATAGGTACCACTCTGGCGGGAAGGTAAATGGCATTTCTGTGCGCTGCTCTGGTTCGCCAGAAGCAGCTTAGTCATGCTGGCCACAGGACTCAGAAGCTTTCTATGGACAAATGCCAGCTCCCTCCGCCAATAAAGTGAGATGAGCACCGCAACCCCAGAGTCGGTCACGACTGGACCTACCTTTACCTTTACTTACAGAACTGCCATGCTTTAGTGGCTAGAGCTTTGCAAAAGAGGATAATTGGGAGAAAACCAGAACAACTTGGCTCCACCTTGGCCATACCCCATCCCACCAGATCCAGGGGCTACCAATTACCACTGCTGATG